CCTGTATTAAGTTCTAGTTCTTAACAGTGTTAATCCTTTAACCTCGATAGTTCTAGTTACAGTGTTAATCCTTTAACCTCCGATAGTTCTAGTTACAGTGTTAATCCTTTAACCTCCGATAGTTCTAGTTACAGTGTTAATCCTTTAACCTCCGATAGTTCTAGTTACAGTGTTAATCCTTTAACCTCGATAGTTCTAGTTACAGTGTTAATCCTTTAACCTCCGATAGTTCTAGTTACAGTGTTAATCCTTTAACCTCGATAGTTCTAGTTACAGTGTTAATACTTTAACCTCCGATAGTTCTAGTTACATAGTTAACACTTTAACGATAGTTCTAGTTACAATGTTAACACTTTAACCTCTGATAGTTCTATTTACAGTGTTAATCCTTTAACCTCTGATAGTTCTAGTAACAGTGGTAATCCTTTAACCTATGATAGTTCTAGTTACAGTGTTAATCCTTTAACCTCGATAGTTCTAGTTACAGTGTTAATCCTTTAACCTCCGATAGCTCTATTTACAGTGTTAATCCTTTAACCTCGATAGTTCTAGTTATAGTGTTAATCCTTTAACCTCCGATAGTTCTAGTTACAATGATAACACTTTAACTTCGATAGTTCTAGTTACAATGTTAACACTTTAACCTCTGATAGTTCTATTTACAGTGTTAATCCTTTAACCTCCGATAGTTCTAGTAACAGTGGTAATCCTTTAATCTGTAACCGTTCAGATCCAGTCTTTATTGTCCCGTCTGTATCAATAAAACTTCTACCTACATAGCAGTTAACATCTCATGAAGGGTTGTCTTCCAATATTTGGAACATTTTTAACTGGCGGAAAAAAGGAAATGGTGATTAGAACCTTCAGGTACTCAATAAGAATTTCTAGTTTGAAGTGTACCTCCTTAAAACCAAGTTCCTATGAAGATATTGTATATAGATGACAAGGCCGCCACTTGCTTTACTACATAGACATTGTAGCACTAGACAGAACCTTATATAAAATTGTGAAACTAGATCTTATCGTTCACTTATGTAAAGTTAAACGTCAACCAATTTAAAAACATGGTTTATAATGCTTGGTGCTTAGTGTCATGCGGTAATGGTAGGGGATAAATGTATGGAAGCCGTGAAAGAAAAAACAGAAGTAAGAACGAGTCATTCAACGTAAAAATCGATGAATCTGACAACCAGTTCATGATGATATATCATATTTCTGAAATTTAAACTGTTGCCAACTCCCAATTCTAATTGAGACGGTTTTAATAGCGTTTTTATGTACTTATGTCTCGAATCTCCGGTTTCCTTTTTTCTAATATTGAAACCATAATTTATGTATTTTATAAAACTCTCTACCGTAACCACATCACTTCTTATTGTCGGACCGAACTCTGCAGTATAATCCATCCTCTCATAAACATGAGTACAGGCGTATATTCAATTTTTTTTTCGAAACTTGATAGCGATATTAATATTCTAACTCATATTGCTTTCTGTAGATTTGGTGCTGATGCTCGTCAAGCCTTCTTCATCATAACTTGGTTACTTAAAGTTGTGTGATATACAGAATTGTTTAACCAGCAATAAAAGTAAAGGTCTACATCGGATTATACCGTCAGAAATCGCCTGTTACATCCTCTATTTGTTTATAATCGGTAGTGTGTGAGCAGGTATTTACAGACTGACTAGCATTAGGGAAAGGGACACTTGTTTTCTTATAAGTTTCATGAAGGAAGAAAACATTAATTTGTTAAATTCTCCATACTTTGATATTTTGTAACTTTTCGTGTTTGAGTCTATCTTTCGATGCATTGCTCTCTGTGGTATTTGAAGAAGTAGATCAACGATCTGTAATGCTATTCAAGGGTCCAGAATAACAGTACAATCTGTTAAGATGAATTATCATAATAAATCATGTTAACGACAAATCATCGAATCTGTAAGGATTCAAAGTCAATGTCTTTGACATATGTAAATGGAATGGGTACTTTGTATTGCATGTATACTGCCGGACGGGGGCAATGATATTACACCATATTTTAGAATGCGCTAAGTTATATACCATTGTTTTAGAGAGAGACGTGTTATATGGCAGTGTTTTAGAGAGAACAGTGTTATATGACGACAGTGTTTTAGAGAGAGCCGTGTTATATGACGACAGTGTTTTAGAGAGAGCCGTGTTATATGACGACAGTGTTTTATAGAGAGCCGTGTTATATAACAGTGTTTTAGAGAGAGAGACGTGTTATATGACAGTGTTTTATAGTGAGCCGTGTTATATAACAGTGTTTTAGAGAGAGCAGTGTTATATGACAGTATTTTAGAGAGAGCAGTGTTATATGACAGTGTTTAAGAGAGAGCCGTGTTATATGACGGTGTTTTATAGAGACCCGTGTTATATGACAGTGTTTTAGAGAGAGCCGTGTTATATAACAGTGTTTTAGAGAGAGAGCAGTATTATATGACAGTGTTTTAGAGAGAGACGTGTTATATAACAGTGTTTTAGAGAGAGAGAGCAGTGTTATATGACAGTGTTTTAGAGAGAGCCGTGTTATATGACAGTGTTTTAGAGAGAGCCGTGTTATATGAAAATACTCTAGGCAAAATAGTATGATAAGACATTATTTCTGGGAAAGCAGTGTTATAAGAGTATGGTAATATAAGATTTTACAACACTCAAGTGAAAAACACCTTTTATATCATACAGCTGTTTCGACCTTCTATTCCTCGTCAATTATACTACATCATACAGCTGTTTCGACCTTCTGGGACTGGTCAATGATGCTACATCATAGAGCTGTTTCGTCCTTCTATTTCTCGTCAGTGATGCTACATCATACAGCTGTTTCGACCTTCTGGGACTAGTCAATGATGCTACATCATACAGTTGTTCCGGCCTTCTGGGACCGGTCAATGATGCTACATCATACAGCTGTTTCGTCCTTCTAGGACTCGTCAATGATGCTACATCATAAAGCTGTTTCGTCCTTCTAGGACTGGTCAATGATGCTATATCATACAGCTGTTTCGACCTTCTTGGACTCGTCAATAATGCTACATCATGCTGTTGTTCCGACCTTCTGGGACCGGTCAATGATGCTACATCATACAGCTGTTTCGTCCTTCTAGGTCTCGTCAATGATTCCACACCATACAGCTGTTTCGACCTTCTGGGACTGGTCAATGATACTACATCATACAGCTGTTTCGACCTTCTTGGACTCGTCAATGATGCTACATCATGTAGTTGTTCCGACCTTCTGGGACCGGTCAATGATACTACATCATACAGTTGTTTCGTCCTTCTGGGACCGGTCAATGATACTACATCATACAGCTGTTTCGACCTTCTTGGACTCGTCAATGATGCTACATCATGTAGTTGTTCCGACCTTCTGGGACCGGTCAATGATACTACATCATACAGTTGTTTCGTCCTTCTAGGACTCGTCAGTGATGCTACATCATACAGCTGTTTCGTCCTTCTAGGTCTCGTCAATGATTCCACATCATACAGTTGTTCCGGCCTTCTGGGACCGGTCAATGATGTTACATCATACAGATGTTTCGTCCTTCTAGGTCTCGTCAATGATTCCACACCATAAAGCTGTTTCGTCCTTCTAGGTCTCGTCAATGATTCCACACCATACAGCTGCTTCGTCCTTCTATTTCTCGTCAGTGATGCTACATCATACAGCTGTTTCGACCTTCTGGGACTGGTCAATGATGCTACATCATAGAGCTGTTTCGTCCTTCTATTTCTCGTCAGTGATGCTACATCATACAGCTGTTTCGACCTTCTGGGACTAGTCAATGATGCTACATCATACAGTTGTTCCGGCCTTCTGGGACCGGTCAATGATGCTACATCATACAGCTGTTTCGTCCTTCTGGGACCGGTCAATGATGCTATATCATAAAGCTGTTTCGTCCTTCTAGGACTGGTCAATGATGCTATATCATACAGCTGTTTCGACCTTCTTGGACTCGTCAATAATGCTACATCATGCTGTTGTTCCGACCTTCTGGGACCGGTCAATGATGCTACATCATACAGCTGTTTCGTCCTTCTAGGTCTCGTCAATGATTCCACACCATACAGCTGTTTCGACCTTCTGGGACTGGTCAATGATACTACATCATACAGCTGTTTCGACCTTCTTGGACTCGTCAATGATGCTACATCATGTAGTTGTTCCGACCTTCTGGGACCGGTCAATGATACTACATCATACAGTTGTTACTACATCATACAGCTGTTTCGACCTTCTTGGACTCGTCAATGATGCTACATCATGTAGTTGTTCCGACCTTCTGGGACCGGTCAATGATACTACATCATACAGTTGTTTCGTCCTTCTGGGACCGGTCAATGATACTACATCATACAGCTGTTTCGACCTTCTTGGACTCGTCAATGATGCTACATCATGCTGTTGTTCCGACCTTCTCGGGTTCGTTAGTAATATATTGTATGACCATTAAGGAGGATCGCTGTGAAGTATTTAATGAGTTGCCTTAAAGATCACATTAAAACTTCTTGAATAATAAGTTCACATTTATTTACTTTATCTGTACGTACTAGATCAGTAACCCTGTATGGCTTCGTTAACTAAGCCAGTTTGAGGTACAGAATTCATCTCAAAGTAAGTAGAGTTATTCCCCTTGGTGCGTTACTACTGGCCTAGTGCCTCGTCTTTGATAACTTCACATTTATAGGGGTTGATTATGATTCCTTCAATATATTTCAACACTTTATCAACATAGTATCACTAACTAGTCTATAATAACGTATTCCGTAAGTGTTACTTAAACTTCGATAATACAGATGATATTTTTTCTTAGCCGAACTGGTGGAGCTACTCACATCTGAAAAACATCTATATTCCAGAGCACGACAAAGTCCTCCTTATTCTTATCTACACCTTAAGATTAACATTTCCGGCCTATGTTCCTGATTTAATCTTACCAACAAAATTACTGATTACCCGTTTGTAAGCGTCAAGTCTGGCACATAGGAGCCCGGATCGCTATACAGTAAGAAAAGTGTAAATCTGAACTTATTGAATTAATTTTGTATAAACAAGAAACGCGAAGCAATATGTAGGTGGAAATGTTGATATTTAAACATTTCACAAACAATAAGAAGATGACTTTATATGGAACTATTTTCTGCTTACTTCCTGTCGCTGACAAACGCAAAGTTGGAAACCGCTGCTATTCCATCAGTGGTTGGGCTGTTCCGTTTACATAACGTCAAATAAACGACAATTGTTGTTTTTAAAGAGTTTAACTGAAGAAACTGCTTTCAAATGTAAAAAAAAATAACATTATTTTGTTTTGTCATTCACTGACTGTATTTTAACAGATATTTCAATGTGACATGTGTATTTATGTTTACTGGCATTTCTGTGTTTCCAGGTAAACAAATAGCAGGCATGTATTCCCCATAACACATATTTAAATGCCTGTAAATTGCATTATACTATTGGATGAACACAAAATTATTGTTAAATTCCTTTATATGGCAAAACTAACAGCTTATGAAAGAAATGTGTGTCTCGGTACCAATATTTCCGGAAGTGACGTAGACTTGTACCCGTGTGTGTTTATAGTCATCAAATCAGGTGGTCGAAGTTTATATTGCTACACAAATAAATAAAAACTGAAGTCAGCTGATCAATCTGTTAATGTAATTTAATTGTTTAAATGACATATAACACTTCTCCTCATCACACCATCCACTGGCAGTTTGTGATCGAAGGTTGCCAAAGTCCACACAGAAACCATATCTATATTATATACATTATACTAGGATTTAATTAACACGTGACCAGTATATACTCATGAAATTTCATTACTGAAAACACTTTCTATGACGTTCAGTCATGTGAATATGAAACAGTAGAAGTTCTAAGCATTGTCTTTATTCTCACTCATTTCACAGTCATTGTAAGTAAATCCAGTGTATTTATTTATTTTATTTATTTTTGTATCCGATTTCAGTTAAATAAGTCTGTTAGAGTTGTTACATTCATTTCTTATCTATTTAACGCGTTTTACGTCCGTTAACGACAAATTTGTTACATTGTAGGAATGAGATGTAGGAGTGATCTCCCTTGCATCAGGTTAGTTTAAGGCAGTCCAGATTATGTCTCTTTTAAAACGAACCAACGCGAGAGTGAACTTAAACAAGGGAAAAAATGTTTAAATATTGGACATAACTGGAAGGATTACATAGCTAGAAATAAATAATCTTGTAAATAGACGGAGGATTGATATGAAATTCCCAAATGATGTACATGGAAACATTTGTCACACAAAATTGTTACACATTTGCCAAAATTACATTTACAAAAGAGAGATAATTATTTTAATGTTTAGTACGGATTTTCATCATAAGAGAATAAAGTTAGAAATATTCTTCCCGTCAGTAAAAGATAAATCCAAATCACTTAGCCAGATTTATGTTACATGTTGTGGGTTTTGTTATTTCACGTTATCAATGAGAAGATATTCTCTCTCCAGAAAACAATGTAATTATGTAAACACATTAGGAATGCCATTTAACTATCTATCTCTACGTTTGTTTCTTTTGTACAGTCTATTTTCGCAGCTGACAAAGTCATTAGTTCTTATTTTCTCATTAAACTTTGCTGTTTAAAATATTGCTTTTATGATAAGAAAGAAACGATATTTGTTTAGGTGAAAAATCTGCTGTTTCTTCCTGTAATCTATTACAATGTATATCTTAACGCCGTTTTTTGTAATTTACTGTAGATGGTTGACTTAACAAACACGCTATTGATTTTAAGTTGTGCTGATGATGTTTAAAAAGTAAAGAGCTGATTACATGTCAAACCATTATACAGTCATTTTCATGTACAGCATTTCACATGTAACGACTACAATACAAAAGGTGATGAGAATCTGACAGAAATCGTGTGTGGCAAACCAAGACACATTTATACCCCAAATAGATATACACTGCATTTATCATAAACTTTATGAAATATCTATTCATTTATAAACTAGCTAGTAATTTATGAAGTATATAATTTATCCGATATATTTATAACAACTTATGAAATATCTATTAATCTATGAGACATCTATTAATTTATGAAATATCTATAAATTTATGAAACATCTCTATGAATTTATGAAATATAGATCCTTGATGAAATATCTCTGTTTTACAGTATCTTATGTTAAGTTATTATTTATTAATGTATGTTACTTCCCTTCATTGATAGAGACGCCATTTTTAGATCACGATATCTATAAAATTCCGAGATATGTTAATTAAAGATAAATCGCTGTTAATTTATTATTTATCTCTTTTTAATTTTTATGACATCTATTTATGTTTTTAAAATATATCGCTATCAATTTATCAGAAATATCTGTAATGTATTAGAGATTTCTTTCATTTTTTGAGATATCCATTCATGTAAGATATTTCTATTTGTCTATGAGATATCACTGTTAATTTATTAGACATCTTGGTAATTTATCGGAAATCTCTTTTTAATTTTTGAGAAATGTACGTATGTATGATATCTTTGTTATTTATGAGATATCCCATGGAAATCTGACACTACGAAATGTCTCTATCAAAGACAGATAGCGATTAAATTTTAAAATATCTGGATTACATATAGATAAATCTGTATATAATTTGAAGTCTTGAAGCGATATATCTTTGTTATTGTAGATAAATAATTAAAATTTTTTAAAATTTATTTTGGAATAAAATAATAAAAATGGCTGCCATATAAATGGTTATATGACTTCACCTTTACATCTATTTTAAAACTCAGCCATCTGACATCTCTGTCTAATTACTTTATCAGAGAACTAAGTATATACCATATACATAAAGATAGAGTTATGTTAAAACATCAAGTGTGAGAAAAATCATGTAAGGGAGACAACTCAATGCCCACCATATGTTACGTCATTTGATACGACGGGGGCTCTTGACTATGTTTGATATCTTTTTTCTGTCAAAAGTTATCAGGAAAAATATATAAATAATAATAATAACACTTAGAAAAATACTTAATATTACTTTTGTTTAATGACGCAAAAATATATATGACAAACAGTGTTTATTTCCAATAGTTATGAGTAAATGACACATGACACTCACGGCAATTTTTTTTTTCGTAAAAACTGAAAAATTTTATTCAGACTAATTACATAATACATCTGTCATGTAAACATGCTACATTCCACTACACTATTGGGGAAATGAAAAGACACCTTGACATCTTGATCACAAAATATCTCTTATACGTTATATCTCGTGTTGCAGATACTTTCCCATCTGGGCGGATTCAAACCCTCACCATGGCACGGACATACCAGAAACCTTAATACGTCAACCGTAACGCAAAACAAGTCGCCTGGAGATGTTAATGAAATAAAAAGTGAAACATTTACAAATCTATAATCTACAGAATTACTTTGAATAATTACAGTTAAAGGTGACACCAGATCCTTGTCCACAACAACATCGGTATATAGAACACAAACTTTCAGAAGACCTTGACCTAAGTGTCATGATGTGAAGATTGGTCATGATCTCGTGCAAAGTCCTTGCTCAGTTGCTCAAAGCTTCGTTTGAACTAACCAGCAGTTAGTGTATTTTAATTGCCACTGAAAAAAGGATTTACAATGCGAAATTATAAAACATATCAACGTGACCTGTCTCAACAGATCGAAAATTGTAAAACGTTAAATGATGTTCCAAATTTTGTTTAAAACATACCGATATTCGAGAATTAGCCTTGCCACAGTGCCTGATAACTTGTATTGAAACTCCGGCAAGAACGTACTCGACAATTTCAGCTTGATTTTTCCCAACAAGACATTGAGCATAAAATAATTACATCACACACTGTATATAGTAATTTCATCATCACAAGGTAGTCTATTTGTTAACCTAATAAACTGTAAAACATCAAATTGATTACAATAACACCATATAATCAATGTATTATTTTTTAGATCAGATAGTTTCTCAGTTAAATCCAATAAATCATTTTCCGTAGTAGTCTTACGTAACACGCATATGTATCTGATGTCACAGTCTTACACATTCCGGTGACATTGATCAATGCCCTAAATAGAACAGTCGCATGTTCGCACAATTACTGAAACATTCTATAAATAGATTGGTACTGTTTATAGTTAAAAAAAATAATATCTACAATACATTATAAACTATGAAATCAAGGTTGAGCAAAAGTTCTCTCTGGTAATTAGAGGAAGAGAATGCTGTATAGCTGATGATGTTCACGGGTCAAAATTTCGCGATTTTCCTTTGAAACGATTGAATAATGTTTCAATGAAGTAAAATTATCATCCCCGCGGAAACAGCCGTCTATACGTTATTTTCCATCTGAAGGTTTTATATCAACACAAATGTGAGATACAACACAGAAACGACCGACATAATGACAGAATTGTAATTCAAAATCGAATTCGACAAACTAGGACAAAATATGAAGAAAAGAAAGAATTTCATGGAGACTTATGAAAAAGTACAAGAAGAATAAGACCAGATGTTCCAGAAGAGTAAGCGTCTACTGCTTCATCGACGACACCCATGCGGAGCTCTTGGTCATCCAAGTGAGTACTGTCACGTTCTCAAATGAGAACAAGGTAAACAACAAGAACCAACAGGCAATCTAACGAACACCAAACACCCCAGCTTCATATCGTACAACGGAACCAACAGGCATACTAACGAACACCAAACACCCCAGCTTCATATCAGACAATGAAACAGAACTTAACCCATTGAAAGGCGTTGAGCCTGATCTAAATAGGCCTAAATATTGTTTATAGAGGAAACATGTTTATAAATGTATATACATGACTGACGGCGAGCGAGAAATATTCTCACCTGTATAACTGTATACCGGTTACATCTATATTTAGTATCAAGTCAATAAAGTTAATAAGATACCTATATAACTAACTTACATTCAAAATGACACGAAATATTTAAAATGTCTGCTAAAACATCAAGTCAACATTATTGACTGAATTCTTATTTTTGCATCATAATGATTAAAGTTGCATACTTAGCTGTTAATGACACCTTCAATTAATGCAATATTTCAGTAATTAAGCCCATCACACTGTAACACATCTACCATTCCATCCTTATTAAAAATAAAAACAACTACAACACACGATAATAAGATTCTGATTAGTTAGCTATGATACATACGAAATCGCTAATGATGCTTTTATAATCACTTATTGTAAAGCCAGCAAGGTTCTATATCTGAGAAATGTTTCTTAATATAGTTTTTAATTTATATTAAAATATTGATTATCAATTTTTATGATGACGGATAATCATAAGCAATATAACATGTCTCAAACATCAGAATAACCATGGTAACATAGGACATCTAGATACATAGGTAAACGACATTTACATTTTGATGAAAAGATAACCAAATACACAAGCGTGGGTAGTCTATAATTAATCCAAAATAGTTATATTACAGGCATGGACACGATATTACCTTAAATACCATATACCTTGTACTGTGATATACTTAGATGATATTAATGGCGGGTGTTCATCTGATATCACAAGTTGTAAATAAATCAATATGTTGTTAAAATATTTACAAAATACACTGTAAATATAGGACTATAATAATATTACACACGATCAGCTCTGCGAGAGAAGAAAAAGAACACACAGTACGGACAATAATGATTGATGATGAGCAGTGACCAGTGTTCCACTGTTGTATCCACATTTCTCTAGAAATAAATTATCGTCAGAAATGTGCTGCAAATTTCTCCGCTGATTATCTTCATCTGCACAAGTTCCATGAACCTGACCGGCTATTTTGAAGTGTACAATTCCTAAAACAGTACAATCACACATGAGCGGATTGTCCGAGACGGAAAGGCTACTCACCAGATAAGGACTGAGGTCATGCAAGAACGATAAATCAGAAATGTTATTTCCGTCCATTATAATTGACAGAGGTCCCTTAAGCCCGTGAAAAGCTCCGGGAGAAACTGACATTATGTGCGAGTTTTTCATTACAAGTACCCTGGCTCTCAGCCCCGAGAAGAAATTGTCGAAAAGAGTCGGAAACATGTTGTCTGATGCGTCTAATACGTCCAAGTGTCTTAGTGTCACAATGGCGTCTGTTGGTAGACGCTTGAGACGCATATCACGAATAATCAGCCTTTTCAGCGTGAGTTCAATTCCCTCGAACATGTTGTCTGTGAATTCTAATAAAGGATTTCCACTCATATCTAATTCCTGTAAAGACTGCAGTGATCCAAACGTATCGTTGGAAATATGGTTTATTTTGTTGTATGAAAAATCCAAAATTTTCAATGTTCTAAGCGGCCTTAATGCCATAATCCAAAAATAACCCCCTGGAAGTCGAGCATTCGAAATAAGCAGAGTTTCAAGCGTCTCTTCGAGTCCAGAAAACGCTTTTGCTGCAATAATCCTGAGATCTGTCCCACGAAGATTAATTTCTTTAAGATTTGAAAGCATCACAAATGCTCTGTCTTGTATATGGTCAAGCTTAATGTTTTGCGAAAGGTTTATACTGACCAAACTGGTCAATTTCAAAATGGCAGAAGGAATAACGTGTAGCATGTTTCCAGACAAATCTAAGTGAGTCAAATTTTCGAGACCTTCGAATATGTTTTCTTTTGCTAATGCCATTTCGCATTTATTTAAACCCAAGTATTTTAACGATCTTAGATTTAAGCCAAAGAAAGGTTCACCATCTAAATGTAGGGGGTACTTTCCGTTACTGCCCAAATAAAGACTTTGTAATTTTGTCATGTTAGTTAAGAAGTTTAAATTATTGAAGTCTAACCCAACATTTTCTAAGTAAAGAGTTTGCAAAGTTGCGCGTAAATGGGTGAAGGCATTATCGGATATTTTAGTGAACTTGTTATGACTTAAATCAAGTTGTAATAGATGAGACGTAGGGAATCTTCCACCATTAAGTCTGACAGCACTGTCCTGGACATTGTGTCTCAAAGACAGACGGTCTAATCTCATCAGTCTCTTTAAAAAATTAATATTGTTGAATCTAAGATTGATATCGTCCATTAATAGTATTCGGAGTGTCGATCGTATTGGTCGGAACACATCATCCCGGATTCCTCCGAACCTGTTGTGACTCAAATCCAACTCTTCAATCTTTAATCCACGGAACATAGACTTGTTTAAATTCACGCTTTGGAAGGAATTGTTAGATAGAATTAATTTTCTTATGATGGCGTTTTTAAATTCTTCCAGATTTGGAATGGTTGAAAGGCGTTTACTACCGCAGTCGAGTTTAGACACTATCATTGTATCGTTCTCACTTCCCTCCTCTAGTGTACATATACAATGCGCAACTTCTGGACACGAAGTGGCATACAGCTCCACTAGGCACTGGAGAAGTAAAATCCAGCACGTTACCCTGCTTCTACGAGTCATCCCAGCAGCTGCAAAGTACAAAACATATTTTAGGAAATAGCTTGAAAACAACATTTTGTGACAAGTAAACAACAACAACAGGATCTTAATTTAAACACAAATTAGATGAAACTATGGCAAAATTTGAACGAAAGAAACATTAACATTTGGACTCCTGAAAAAGAATTCAGTGTTCAGGAAGGATAGCCCTCTTGTGCTTCGTCGATGACACCTGCCATTTAAATATTGGCCAAGGATATGTAATATTATCTTATAAAATCATTATGACGACCGTAGAACTTCCCCATCAACTCTATGTTGTAAGTTTTCCTGTCTGAAAAACATGCTATTGGGGTCATCGAATCAACTGCAACATGCACACGCCATACGTTCGGGATGCATTTTGCGATAAAATGATGAACATATTAAGGAATAGCGACCTATTATCAACCTTCATCTAAGTATACACTTTTGTAAATCGAGGAAGTTTTGTTTGTGAACTTCCCGGTGATGATCCATAGGAAACATCATTATAACACATCAGAAACTAGAAAATGTGTAACCGTCATTCTACCGTTCCCGGCAGATCACTTCAGATATGTCAGTATATGTCTAATTTCCAAGGTAAACAGTAATTCGTTATTAAATGGGAATAAGGTGTGATTTCTTCAGAACACATTAAACGTCTTATCAACGCTGTAGATGTGAGGTAGATTTAAAGAGTTTAATCGCCTTTATATATAGTATCCATTTCAAAGTCACCAAAGATTAAGGATTTATTTTCTTCCTGTTTTGAACGTAATAATAAATTATGTATCCATTGAGGCTCTGAATTATGTGTGCAGTAGTTTTATGTTTAAGTGTTCTCACTTTACCATTCCATCAAGTCAAGGAGATGTAGCTTACTGTGAGTCGGCCGATAGCGCTATTTAATTCACTGGGTCTCCTAAGGGCCATTATGTTGTATCACGTCTACCTCCCCTCATTATTGAGGCCTTAGAAGGGAGACCTTATTTAGAAAAAATGTCTCAGATAGTAAGTTTACAAAACATATCTTGTCGTTTATTATTGCAACTGAGCTTGATTTAAAACAGAAAAAGAACATTCAGCTTAAAATGTGTTTACTATTGGCTTTAAATAGGAAAATATAGAAGTATGAAAAACGTGAGACTTTCCCTATGAACTGTATGGATACCTTCATTTTCGACGTACACTGAGTGGATATAGACGGTGTAGCTCGTTCTTGGACTTATTTACGACCTGTCATATTTAGTACGAAAATAAGTTGTTTTATCAACTAGAATCAAATATTTCTAACATTGGTGAATGAGAACCATTGAATGAAATTAATCATTTATCAATATTTTTTCGTGAAATATCAGTCAAACGTCCAATACACTAATAATACAAAATAGAATATTCCAAGAGAAACACTTTCCTTTGATTAATCAACCAAAACCAGTTCATGGTATGATTAATTTCTGTAATACATTACGTATACGATAGATCTTGTATGTGTTCTGATGAGCTTAACTTCCATTTTAATCAGCGACCTAAACTACTCATGTTACACTACCGGTCAATGAAACATCTATAATACACGTAAATATGATATGTCCCCGTCTTGGGCCCATTTCTGCCCATATGTCTTCCGATCCCAGGTCTGTGTAATGGCGGGAAAGTTAGGCTCCATCGTCAGTGCATCACGTGGGAACCATTAATCTTATCATCCTCCGACGAAATGACAATAAATGACTGTCATTTGTGGCAAATAGAATTCAAATTAGAGCCTTGATTGGGGACCTCTCACCCACTGTAAAATCCATCACATATATTCGTCATCCAATAGTTATTTACTGCGGGACATGCACCAGCATGCTTTACCGCATGTTAATGCAGAATTGTTAATACGTTCGACGGAGAGAGTAAATGTTAATACAGTTAAGGGAACACGCCTCGTATTGCATCCTCTGTAATACATATGGTACTTCCCAACTTGTAAAACAAACAGTTGATAGGTCAGGTACATATAAATATGATGTAACGACCAATTATCTTATCAAGTAAGTAAGTATTTTCTCTCCTAGTCGTTGTCTAAAATCATGGCCTCGTGCATTTGTGATAGTCGGGACAGGTACATCCAGCCCACACTCTCTGACACACAACATCATCCGAAGAGTTGCTGTAACACTAACACATTTTAAGTCATGTTTATAAACACTGAGTTTCTAAAAAAGTCAAAAGTATACATGCTTACTAAGTAACGCGGTCCACAACAAACGCATGCGCTTGACGTTCTGTTCAATTTATCATTATTCCGATACACAAATCGACTAATTAACTGTGACATTAGCCGTCCCAATCTTTGATGTAATATTTCTCACCGATTAAGATTTTCCGAATCCTGCTTCTCGTTACTGATAATTCCTAGAGCACCGAAAGAGCAGAGTGATGTGATTTAATTCACTTTTCCCAGTAAATTCCATCTATAGCAAAACTGACATGGACTCCTGTAGTTCACACGTGTCCTTTGAACAAGGCTTTCCTCGCGCTTCATTGCTAGTGGCGGCATCGTTCGAAAGTCGTTCTAGAACAATAGTATGCGAGCTTTATTATATTTCAATGACGCTTTTCATGTGGTGACATCGTTTTCGGAGTTTCATTACAGAAAATAAAATTTACAGACACTAGCTTGTACTTACTCTTTCACGGTGATATTTAACAAAGTAGGGATACTATTTTTCTGCTCCACAAGAACTAAAGACACGTGAACAGAACTAACATAAGTCGTGGTGACTATAAAGTCTATCAATCAATACACTATAACATTCTCGATTCCGGGAACCATAAAACTAAATCATTGACCAATACTAGTTTTTCATTATGTAACCAATTTCGTTCCCGGGAACGTTATCCTCAGACTCCTTCTGGTAAATGTCATTTTCCGTCCCTTGACGTGCTGTTCCGGGATATCAGTTACAATCAATATAACAATATTTCTGTTTATGACGGCAGACAAATTCCTCAAATCAATGCTATTGTGTGTATGCATTGCAGATTGTATGTAAACAATATTTATTCTTAAAACACGTGTATATATATATATATCTAGGAGTACGAATGCACGAGTGTATCTATACACAAGGTGGGGCAACAATGTAGACGCGGCATCATTTCGTTCAGTTATATCAAATTCTATTTATGTCAAAGATGCCATTTACTTGTGGGTTTTTTTTCTACAATCTGTGGGAGGCATCATCGATTTCCGATTGTAGCTTTCACCATTGAGATATTGGAGGTATAAAAATAGGTGTAACTTCGAGTAATTCTGTCGTCTTTAAATTCTCATTTTGATTTATCTCGATATTTACACTTTTAGCTTGGTACTTTATTTTGCACACTACACCTACGCCTCCTACCACAGAACGGCGTGGAACCCATCAGGTTTTACGACTGTGTTCTCAGAGAAACCACTCCCGAACCGGTATTGAAAAAGACACCGCAATTCAATCAGTTGCCTTTAACGACACAAAGTGGTCAGCAGACTGGCCTTTTCCAATCTTAGACGGTTTACGATTTTTCAGAATATTCATTTTTGTAATTTGACTTCACAGTGACTACGCCATTTTCTGTGGAATTGAGATCGCCGAAATTTAACAACAACATGGTTGTGGTATTGTTGCTCAGATGATGATGATGATGGATGATGATGATGATGATGATGATGATGATGATGATGATGATGATGATGATAATGATGATGATGATGAAAATACTTGATATTATTAGTTAATATTCATATGAAGAGCAGAGCAGGAAAAATAAGTGAAATAAAAGAGACAAGAACAAGTCGCGCATTCTGATTCCAACATTCATGGCGTTCTAATGTTACTGGTGTTATTGAACGACCAGTAATTACAAAAGTTGTGAGCAAAAGAAAACGTTCAAAATTGTCTGATCAGCCTAGGATGTTTTTTTTTTTATTTTATTTTGCTGTGGTTTTTTGCTCTCACAATAGCTAAAGTCATATACAAAATCACTTTGACTTATGCCTGCACGAGATTACATCGTTTGAGCTAACGATACTAAATGATTATGTACTACATGATGAAAAATTTATCTTACACACCAAAAGGATCAACGATCTATCGTCTTTGTCATGTGATCTTTTTGACTAATGACGTTGCCACAAAATTTCTAACGCTACGTGACACTAGCTTTAACCACCATTTAACAGGCTTTCTACGACTGATAGTTTTCATCAACAACTTGTACAATTACAAAAACAATGGCTGATGGGAATATGCACGACAATATATAGTCTTTAACGTATTCTGGTAAAATTTAATTGCTTTGAAGAAGTGATTTTTGAGAGAATTTTTTAGCTGACTTAAGATGAATCTGATCATTCATTTGCACTTCTGGCGATTTATTCATTCTATAACTAGCGCCCTCTGTCACACAGTGAAATTATAAAGGGCTATAATCCATCAGTCAAGATCGGTAATTGTCACATGTTGATACAGGAATACAGCTGGGACTGAGCATGTAGCGATGATACAAAATAAGTGGTTGTCTATCAAGTCTGAACAAATGTTGGCACTGCGCTAGCATAGTAAGTTGCCAATTAGGCGATAACCAATAAACTTTCCTCATTTCCCAAGTTGTCATGCCTTTTCCATACATCTGTGTTAAAAGTATATCTATATATATGCATGGTAGAGCTTCAAATTACACCCGATCATGACAAACGAATGGTTCGGATTAAATTAAATAGCTATACTTTTATAGGAACGATCCCATCATTCCATGAATCATTCTAAATACGGATTTCTTTGGCCCGTCAAACCCATGACTACGAATATGAATATGTCAAGTATTTATATATTCTGATCATAAACTGAAGAAAAAAACATAAAGAAAATACCAACATGTCCACAAAAATAATAGTCCAAACTCAAATTCAATAAAACTAAGGCAAAATGTAAGCCAAAGCAAGATTTACACCGATTCTCTTGAAAAAGTACGAGTATTATAAGATCTGGTGTTCAAGAAGAGTGAGCGTTTTCAGCTTCATCGACGACACCTACCATGTTAAATCTTGGCCAATTCAAGTAAGTAATATCAAGTTCTCAAATGTGAACAAGGTGAACAACAACGGAACCAACAGGCAAACTAACGAGCCACAAACACGCGCAGCTTCCTATCACAAAAAGATATAGAATATTTCTCAATAAGATCACTATGGCGACTATAAAACTTCACCATAATTTTCATCTACTAGTATCTTCTGAAACCTGTGCTATGAGCTTGCCCAAAAATCGGAACAGGACCTTGGATATTGAATCAACAGTGTTATGTTAATGCCATAGGCAGCGGATGCAGTGATATTGGTATCAAGAAATAGAATATTCACCGTAGGGAAATTGGTGGAAAGCTGTCTGTGTTGGTTTCGTTGTAAAAAAAGATCGAGATAAGCAGCTGATGTAAAAGAATCTGTGGTGGCTTTGATTTTCAATTCTGGTGGGTAGATTGGGCATAGTCAATAAAATTCCTGTTATTTAAAGACGTCATCAATATATCTGAACGTGAGATTAAACGACTTTGCAAGGTCTTTGTTGAACCTGGTTTGATAAGCTCTTCAATAAATTCAGCCTTCTATGAAAAACAAATGTCAGCTAACAAAGGGCGCGTTTAGTTCCCATAGGTATGTCAGTAGTCTGTTGGAAGATCTTACTACAAAACTCGATGTTGTCAACAAGAAACGACTTTCTCTAAATCAAGGAATCGGGAATCATTCAGGTTGTGTACTAATGATCTTTTTTTTTACGACATATCTATCAGGCTACAGAGCCGGATTGGAATCTTGTGAAAACCTAATCCTTCAAATGTCCTGCTTCACATCCGGTCTCACGGCATTTCAGGAAGGTCGTTTATAAATGAGACAAGATACACAATAGCAGGTGGATTTAAGTGATCATATCGCTAATAAAGGAGTGTTATAGAGACGACACAAAACGATTTAAGAACATTATCGTTTTTGTTTTGTTCAAATGGTGTCTACTCCTAAGTACTCTCGTTCCTTTCCGTTTTCGTTACTCCCATTTCTTTCTTGATTTCCCGTCACATCTTTCGATGCCCTGTTCTTCGTCCTCTCTCTTTTACTTCCCTTCCTTTAATTTCTTCATCTCTCTTTCATCCTCGTTTTTCCGGTTCCCTCCCTTTTTCGTCACATTCTCACAGTTTCATACACTTGTTTTCGTCCTGTTGCATTCTCATCCATCCTGTCTCTACCATAGTTTCTCCTTACCTAACTATACACTGTGTATCATCTTTTTTTCGTGCTTTCCTGGCTCCTTCTAATCCCGTGCTTTATTATACTGCCGTCGCTCGTTGCTATGTTTAAGACTCTCTTTCATGAACTATTGTCTCGCCTCATCATTGCTAAACTATTTGCCCTTCTCCTTTCAGCGCTCTTCTCTTCTTCCACGATTCCGGGTTTGTCTTTCATTATCTTCTCATTTCCTAATACGTCATCAACGCTTGAACGTTAGGCAATCCGCCAATGGTACGATACATAACAGCTCTACATGTGTGTTGTAATAGAAGCGGGTATATGCTGAAGCAATTAACTCAAGATAGTGATGGTGAACTTCTTGTAAATCAATAAGTCTTTCGAGATATTTTTGTTTCCAGAACAAATATACAACAAAGACACCATATATCTATTATCATTCACAAGTAAAAACAAAAAAAAATGAAAAAGAATGTTAAATCCAACCCGCGCAGGATATCAGAATTATCCTCAAGAAGACATCGTCGAGCTTGTAACACAATAGTTTGTTAAGTTGGATAGATTGTCAATGTTGAAACTATTTACATCATAAATGGGTTGATATTTTTATATTTATTAACAGGCAGGAAGGAATACAAAATGTGATATATTATTTAAACTGTATGAGAAACTCTGAAAAGAAACTCACAATTTCTCTTCAATTTCAAGTCATGCATGATGTGTTAAAAGATCCTGGTTTATCGATACACCAATTTCCTGTTTAAATTCTGCCCCATGGGTATACTTTATCAAAAAGGAAATCACAGACAAAAAAAAAATGATTTTCTTTTCATTTCTTTTACTGTATTGCTTTTCATTTCATTTTTATTCATTGATCTATCAATGTTGGTTTCATATATAATATGAGGACCATAATCAATATTAGACTTACATCTTCACTGTGATTTAATATTCTTTCCGGGAATGGGATTTTCATATTGATTCATCAACATTGTATCTTGATTGCAAATGTTGTGTAGAGCTGCCCGATTGAGTTTGATACCGAAACCAAGTTTCCAACGGAACATGAACAGAAGTGACTTTGGGTTCGAAATGGAAGCTAGTATGATATATGTCCTTAATATTCTGTTGGTCATTGGCTGGTCCTAATAAGGAGATAATGATGGACAAGGAAAGGTTTATTCCATAAAATCAGACATCAACCCGGGAGTAGGAACACAGTAATTTACTATCATTAGTATCAGTACAGATCTGTAACATCTGCTAGATTAGAGCCA